GTCCAGGAGCACAAGCTCATAAGCGCTGAGGACATCAGGAAGGCTTCGGCCTGGTGTGTGCGAAACGGGTGGAAAGCCAGCTCCGAACCTGGAACCTTGGGGCCTGGGGGGGGCCCTTCGGCTGGGGTCGGGGTCCTGGTTTGGTACTTCCTCGGGTTGCGCCACCCCGATTTTGGTCCAACGATTCGGCCCCACAGGGTCCTCGGTGCTCTCGTCCACCTCCCAGGTCAGGCCTCTTTCTACGTTGTTAGTGTCTACCTGCAGGATTGTGTTGGACTTAGCGATTTCAATCAGGATATTCTTGCTGGCGTAGCGGCGCGAGCAAAGAGCATGTCTGTGCCGTTCCTTGTCGGTGCCGACTTCAACTTGGAGCCCGCCGCGCTAGCAGGCTCGGCGATTCACCGAAGGATGGGAGCTGACATTGTGTACCCCCCTGGTGTCGAGGGCACCTGTCGCAGCACTGGGGGCGTGAAGATGTTCGATGTCTTCCTTTGTTGCTCCCGCCTGGCGCAGGGGATTAAAGGCGTGAAGATAGCGAGCGATTCGGAGTTAGCGACGCATGACCCTGTCTCCCTCACCTTCCACCCCTCCCTTGCGTCTCTCAAAGCTTTGACCTTTCGACGCCCCCCACCCTTGCCCGCCAGTCGGCCCGCGGGACCTTGCCCTGAGCCCCCCTTTGAATGGGGAGTTTTGGATCGGTTGGCCTCCCGAGCCCTGGCTGTGGCCGAGAGTGGGGAGACTGATGCTACCCAGTATCATCTGGACACCATCTACAAACATTGGGCCAACACGGCTGAAAAGGAGCTCGAAGGAGTGTTTCAGTGCCGCCTTTCGCACCGCGGCAGTCGCGGGCGCCAGGCGGAGTTGCACTGGGTCAGCGTGCTGCAGCCGAGTTCGGCCTCGATGGAAGGCGTTTCGTCGACGTCGCAGTTGGCTTCGCAGCTCCGCTGTCTCAGCAATCGGTATCGGCTTTGGCTGCAGCTGTGCGCCTTAGGAGCGTCGACGGCTGAGCCCGAGCACCCCTCCTCCCCGCGTTTTGCTCGTAGCAGTATAATCGAAATGACAGTGTCAGGACGCGCCGAGCACAGCTCGGCACGCAGCAGCCATCTCTGTGCCACGGCTGCTGAGCTTTTCAATCCCCCTGCCAGGCTGGGAGAGTGGAGCGGCCACGCGGCTGCGCTACTTCTGCGCTGCAGCAATGTCGTCACCCACAGCCCTCCCGGTCAGTCCGTCGTCTCTGGGGAACCGGAATATGCCCTGGATGCGGTCTCCCAGGCCCAAGCTGCGGCCGAGAACGAACATCGTAATTCTGAGAAACGTAAGTGGGTGTCATGGCTTAAGACCAACATTGAGTCCGGGGCTCGGCATGCCCATGGGGTGGTTCGGGGGGCCCCTGCTTGGACCCCCACCACGACCCTCAGCGTCAAAGGCGAAGTTGTTTCGGACCCACAGGCCCTCCTTGAGTCCGAATTTGCTAAGTTTTCTGGTTTTTGGCGTGCCGAAGACCAGCAGCCCCCCCCCGGCGACAGGTGCCCGCTTTGAGGTGCTCGAGCCCTTGCCCGAGTTGACCCCAGCCGACCTTCGTCGTGTCTCTAGGTCTTTCCCGAAGCACACGGCCACTTCGGTCGACGGCTTCCATGTTAGCCACTTCCACCACCTCTCGGATCAGGCGCTTGTCGTCCTCTCTCGTCTCATCGCCACGTTCGAGAAGTCAGGGCACTTGCCAATGCAGATGCGCGTGCTGCTGCTCATCGTGCTTGCCAAGCCCGATGGTGGTCACAGACCGATAGGATTATTCGTGTCTGTGCATCGTCTCTGGGCCCGCGCTCGTCGTGAGTATGCTCGCAGGTGGGAAGCGGCTAACAGCAGGGACTTCTTCGCCGCGGGCTCCTTTGCCTCGAGCGTGGACACTGTCTGGCGGCAATGCGTACGTAGTGAGAAGGCTGTTTCTTCCGATGTATGCTCCAGTTCGGTTCTTTGGGACCTTCTCAAGTTTTATGAATCGGTCGACTTGGATCATCTCTTGCAGCGTTGCCGCCAGCACGGTTTCCCCGTGCAGATTGCGAGAGCATGCGATGTTGCTTACCGCGCCTGCCGCTACATCGCCATGAACAGCGGGGTCATCGGGCCCAAGTTCGCATGGCGAGGTCTTGTGGCAGGCTGCGGCTTCGCGACCACTTTAATCCGTGTCTTCAGCTTAGCTGCCTTGGACGGGCTTAGCTTGCCAAGGTCGGTCTCGTTATATATATATATATATATATATATACATATATATATACATACATCGATGATTACACCTTGTCGTGCCAAGGGGCCGCTCCGACGGTCGTTAATAACCTCCTGGAGGCCCTGGAGGGGGCCATTATGTTGCAAGTGGTCATCGAGGGCGATCTTGGCTGCGCGATCGCTGTCAAGAAGGCGGCAGCTCTCGCCTCGCATCTTTCTGTTGCTAAGGCTGTGCGCCAAGGGCTTGGCACGGTGGGCGGAGCGCCGTGTGACTCCGCTGTCAACCTCGGCATCGACGATGTTGCTGGCAGGCCCCCTCGCGTCGCTCGTCGAGGAGGCAGGTTTAAGGTTCGTAAGACCTTGTTTTCGGCCAAGGTTGCTCGTCTGACTCGTCATAAGAGAACCCTCGGTCGACACTCGCGTCGAGTTTTCACGACTGGGCCCCTTGCCAGCCGAACCTACGGTTGCGAGGTGCACGGCACCTCGGACCATGAGTTTTTCACCCTTCGGAGAGCCATGGGTCGTTTCTTGCAGCCCTCCGCTGGAGGGAGATCGCTCACGGCAGCTTTGCTGTTTGCCGCTGACCCCACCTGGTGCGCGTCCGTCGCGCCCATTGTGAGGTGGTCTAAAGAGATCTGGGCCTGCCTGGTGGGGGCCTACCAGTTCGGCCTCAGCTTGGCTGAGCTCCGCGGTGCCTGGGCTGTGGGTTTTTTTTTCGGGGCCTCTCCAGCCGTGGCGTCGTGTGCGCGGCCTTGCGGGGGCCCTTTCGTCTCTCGGTGGGGCGCATTGGGTGGGGGGTGCCGAGCTTCAGCATGCTCGTCGACGACCTGGGGGTGGACGTTTCCCTTGCCCTGGTTTCGCCTTGCCTCCTGAAGCGTCTCCTCCGTGCTGCTGTTTTGAGGAATCTGGAACGTGATTATGGGCGGTCCCTGGGCCTGGACCGTAGAGTCTGTTTCGACGTGGCCCTCGCGGCCATGAGTTCTTCAAAATTCACTCCCTTCGAGAAAGGGTGCATTAGAGGTCTTGTCTGCCAGGCGCCCTGGACCAGGGCTCGAGCCGAGGACCGCGGCTACATCATGCATGGCGCGTTGCGCCCGCTGTGCGGCGTGGCAAGGGGCACCATTTTCCACAGGCTGCGGTGCTGCCAGCACGAGTCGGTCGCCCAGGCCCGAGAGGACATCCTCGGGGAAAGGTTTCAGTTTCGGCCGCTGGAGTACGACTCGTTGTCGGATGCTGACAAGATAATGTACACGATGGGGCTGTTTACCCGTCCTGGTGATATATTCCCACCCCCATCGATGTGCGAGCCCAGCTATGAGCATTTTGATGATCCTGATAAAGACGGGTATAGAGTTTCGGGGAATATCTTCATGGACGGTTTTTGTATTCGCTCGGTCATAAGAGAATTATCGAGGACGGGGTGGAGCTATGTCTCGGTGTCCGATTCTGGGCAGGAGCTGGGTCATGTCTATGCCCCCCTTCCCCTACCCCATTCCCCAAACGGCTCAGGCTGGTGAACTTGCTGCCTGCACTGCTGCTTGCCAGAATGCTGTCTCTCCAGCTGCGGGGTATAGCGATTGCCAGCATGTAGTAGCTCTGTGGGCCCTCCCTCGTAGTGAACACTTGTCGTATAAGCGAGTGTACTCGGGTATGTTTGTTTGGACCGCAGACAGTCAAATGTGGCCCATCCATAAAGTGAAGGGCCACATGTCGGGCGAGCAGGTGGGTAATGATGCCTATCTGAAGTTCTGTAAGACGGGGAACGACCTCGCCGACCACTATGCTAAGCTTGGGGCCCTAGCTCACGAGAAGCCGAGCCCTGAGCAACAAGAGTGGCTCGATAAATGCCTGTCGGTCGTTCGCAAGGTTTTTGTTTTGGCTGCCCGTGTGCTGCCTCTCTGGCCTCCGCTCGACTTGTCGGAAGCCACTCGTGCGCCCGTCGAACCGAAACCAGTGCCAGTCAAAGTGCCCCATCTTTGGAAGACGGTGGGTAGCTTCTGGCAGTGCAATCACTGCCTCACAGTGTGCCGTGGGGTTTTCCCGCGGGATAATTCGAGTTGCACTAAGAAACATAAGCTCCAGGTTGGCGCCCTGCAGCATCTGAAGCACAACTGTCTTGGATTAGCGTGTTCGGACGGCGGCATAGCCTGTGTCTGTGTCCGTTGTAAGGCGTTTTCCACTGGCAATTACGTTCGCTACCTGGCTAAACCGTGCCCAGGTAGGCCTCATAATATTAGGTGTTCTAAGTATTACTGGGACAGAATTTCGGCTGGCAAGCACCCCAAGCTTTCGGACGTCTGGCTTGACGCGGATGCTAACAGTGTTGTTCGTCTCTTTAATACCTCCTAGGCCTGTATCTGGCCCAGCCTCTCGGTCTCGTGTCGCGGGGGCGTGGCCCTGGTATATGGTTTCATGGCATGTATGACCCGTCTGTGCCATGTAAGTGCCGTGCTCGACGGCCGCCTGGCTCCCAGTGCCAGGCCGACTGCGGGACGCCGTGGAGAGCAGCGTAGCGGTAAAACACTCCAACTTATGGTGGTGGTGGTGGTGGACAACAGGCCCATCAGCTTAGGTAACCTGTCAGAAGGCCGAAGGCCTCCCGTCAAACAGTGGCGAAGCGTCCTGGCGTGCCTGCAGGCCTATCTACCGAACAATGTTCTAAGAACCTTGTGTGGCTTCCACGACATGTTCTTAGAATATTTCTGGCTGGGGCTGTCTTGTTTTAACAGATCGGGTTTGTGCTCTAAGAACATTGGTTTGTTATGAGAACATTTTGGGGTTCTAAAAACAGTTCGTGGCAGGCCCATCTGTATGCTGAGACGGTCGTTCCCTGCTCAATTCCGAGCCTTCTGCGGAGGCCCGGCCCCCTCTCACTTCCCCCGCGGGGCTGGCCGCCGAGTCGAACGATGCCCAGAGGATGGCTCGCCCGAAGTCGTGGACCTGACGCTCCACCGCAGCCTCAAGTTCGCGGCGGGCACCTGCCCGCTGCCGCGGGCCTCGATCTGCTCCCCGTAGGCCGCAGCAGGCAGGCCAGGCCAGGGCCCGACCAGAACGCTGCCTGGGCACCCTCGCGGTCCGTGGCCGCTCTCTCTCTCTCTTCGCCTTCCTTCCCTGTCCCTTCCAGGGTCAGGTCGGGCCTGTCCCCCTACAGGCGGATTGTCGACGAAAAAGCAAAAAAAATCAAACATATCCAAGAGCTGCCCCAAAATACTAAAAGAGAACAGTCCCCAGACGATGTTTGGACTGTTTTCGAACATCCCCCCCTGTCGAGGGACATGCCCGACTGGACTCCAGGGCCCACCGCTGGCCAGTCGCGACGTCGGCCTCGCGCCAGGACGCTGATTGTCTGGGCAGTGGGAGCGCAAACGAAACTGCAACGCCTCGGGAGGGACGAAAAACGCACAGACACAATGACTCGTCGACCCCCCGGAACTATAGGAGAAGACGGGCAGGGGGTGGGGAAGACAAACACCCCGAAACTGTAGGATAGGATCGGGAATCCTGTCATGTGTGTGTGTGTATTTCTTTGTGTGTCTCAGGGCCCCTTTGACGCCCACCGCTGTTCTGGTCGGCCCCTGGGCCGGGGCGGCGCCTCCCCCGCCAGCCGGCGCCGCTCCGCCGCGGCGCGGGCGCTCCCGGCAGCGTGCCGCCCCGAGGCTCGCCGAGCCCGAGGCTCGCCGAGCCCGCGTCGGCGGCAGGCCCTCTATGGGTCCGCCCGTGGGGCCCTCGGGCAGCTTGTGCAGGAGGAGGGGGAGGGGGAGGAGGAGGAGGAGGAGGAGGAGGAGGAGGAGGAGGAGGAGGAGGAGGAGGAGGAGGGGGAGGAGGAGGAGGAGGAGGAGGAGGGAGGAGGAGGAGGGGAGGAGGAGGAGGAGGAGGAGGAGGGGGAGGAGGGGGGAGGAGGAGGGGGAGGAGGAGGAGGAGGAGGAGGAGGAGGAGGAGGAGGAGGAGGAGGAGGAGGAGGAGGAGGAGGAGGAGGGGAGGAGGAGGGAGGAGGGGGAGGAGGGGGAGGAGGGGAGGAGGGGGAGGAGGGGGGGGGAGGGGGAGGAGGAGGAGGAGGAGGAGGAGGAGGGAGGAGGAGAGGAGGGGGAGGAGGGGGAGGAGGGGGAGGGAGGAGGAGGAGGAGGAGGAGGAGGAGGAGGAGGAGGAGGAGGAGGAGGAGGAGGAGGAGGAGGAGGAGGAGGAGGAGGAGGAGGAGGAGGAGGAGGAGGAGGAGGAGGAGGAGGAGGAGGAGGAGGAGGAGGAGGAGGAGGAGGAGGAGGAGGAGGAGGAGGAGGAGGAGGAGGAGGAGGAGGGAGGAGGAGGAGGAGGAGGAGGAGGAGGAGGAGGAGGAGGAGGAGGAGGAGGAGGAGGAGGAGGAGGAGGAGGAGGAGGAGGAGGAGGAGGAGGAGGAGGAGGAGGAGGAGGAGGAGGAGGAGGAGGAGGAGGAGGAGGAGGAGGAGGAGGAGGAGGAGGAGGAGGAGGAGGGGGAGGAGGGGGAGGAGGAGGAGGAGGAAGGAGGAAGGAGGAAGGAGGAAGGAGGAGGAAAGGCGGGGGACTTCCGAGCCTTCCGAGAATGGCCGCCCCGTCTCCCTTCCCCCCAGGGCTCGCCGCCGACTGAGACCTGGCGCCACGTTTTTCACCACGGATGGTTTTGCCATGTTTCGGGTCACAGGGCGATCACAGGTTGATCCAGCCTGAAAAATGCATAAGATAAATTGGGTCCAGGGTTCCAGTTGTTTTTTCCTGCGATGTTGCATTGTTTCGTGACGTCGGATCTCAGGGAACGTTTTCGTCGGCTCCCAGTGGTTTCCCAGCCTCCAGATGCGGATAGGCAGCCGCGCCTCGCTGGGGGCATTCTGGGGGTGCGCGAGATCGTCCCCAACGGCCGCAGGAGGCCCGAGTGATTGCGTGAAGCATGAGAGCACAACGGGAAATGTGTGTGTGATTTGCCGGTTCCTCGGGGCCTCCATGGGGCCACGAGGCCGTCAGCAGAAGGACTCGGGACGAAAAGCCGGCCCCGGGGCAGGGGTCGAGACCTTTGGTTGGTGGTCCCCAAACGTGGTGGTGAGAACACCCGGTGGTGAGTTTTGGGCGATTTGGGTAATGGTTTTCGAGCGCTGGCTGGCCCAGGAAACGCAAAACCTCGTGGCGATCGCGCGTCCCCAAACCCGGTGGTGACCCAGAATTATTTCTTGGGGGAATCGCGGTCACCACCGGGTGTCTCACCACCTGGTTTGGAGACCACCAATTCGGGGGTCCTCGCTGTCAAACGGGGCGCCGGGGCTCGCCCCGGACCTCGAGGTCCGAGGGATAATACAGAGGGCGCTGAAGGTGTGTGGGGGGCTATCTCGAGCTCGCGCGGGTCTGCAGAGCCCACCGGAGCGAGTCCAGGCACGAAGCCTACGCGCTTTCGCGCGCTGGCGAAGCCTCGGGGTGTGCGCTGTCAAGTTTCGGGCTGGCCCGCACGCTTTGAAAGGCGGGGGCCTCCCGGAGGGCAGGCCGGCCAGCGCGCGCCGCTCCTCCGCCTGTCGGGCGGCCCGCGGCTTCACGCCGTGCCACCAGCTGCACCCGCGTGAAGCTCGCCGGTCGCGCCCCTCTCCCCCTCCAAGCAAGAGTCGAGCGGGAGCTCCTCCTCCTCCTCCTCCTCCACCTCCTCCTCCTCCTCCTCCACCTCCTCCTCCTTCCTCCTCCTCCTCCTCCTCCTCCTCCACCTCCTCCTCCTCCTCCTCCTCCTCCTCCTCTTTCCTCCTCCTCCTCCTCCCCTCGTCGCCGCACGAGCTGGGCGAAAGGCGCCCCCTGGAGGCTGCGCAGCACATCTGCCCCGTGCGCATCCCGTAGTCGTGCACGCTGCACTTGCGCCACAGCCAGGCTTGGTGGGATCGTATGGGGTGGTGCTCCATAGGATTTGACACTATTGGGTTGGACCCTAGTGGGTTGGGACCCTGGGGTAGGACCCCATGGGGAATGAGCCGACAGGATGGAACTGGGTACGGAAAGAATAGTGACAAAGACCGACGACAGTTCCTGCCCATTCTGAATTGGGCTCATTGTCGGTGTCGCCGCGGAACGTTTTCATTTGACACGAGCATTGCTTGCCCAACAGTGGCCGCTGTCGATATTGGACGATATTGTCCCCATGTTTTGGCCCCCATTCGGGGCGTGCCAATGGACTGGGTGGGGTGGGACCCTAGCGCCGACGATGTGACCCAGCATCTTGGCGGGGTTTTGCGGGTTGGCTCCGCCCAAACCCGGCAGAAGATGTCAATTTGCTGAGGAACCAAGTCCGTATCTTGGATTGTTCGTGTTGGTTGTTTTTCCGGGTGAAGGTTCATCAGCATAAACAACAACAATCATCGTAAGAGCGATCGCCCTCATGATCGTTGTCTTCAGGCATGTGTACCCCAATCCTCGATATTCATCCTCTTCCTCTTCGACCGTACCCGCTTTGGGAGGCTTTTTTTCCCTCACCCTCTACGTAGGGGGATGAAGCCTGCACCTTGCGCCTCGCTCGTATAGCGCGCGTTCGAGTTCACCAGGACGAAGCCCCCAGTATTCACATAGTGTGTCTTGGGAATCGTTTGCGGCACGCTTGCGCACGCGGTCACCAACACAGGGGACGAAGGCGGCCGAGGAGGAGGAGGAGGAGGAGGAGGAGGAGGAGGAGGAGGAGGAGGACCAGTGCAAATTTAAGACTCACCAGCGATGTTGGAATACACCCTCCATCCAAGCTCCCTCTTCACTGGCCCCTGCAAAGGTTCCTCTCCCATTGGGAACTGCCCCGTCGGGAACAAGTGTGCAAAAATCTTGAAGCGTGCCCAAAAAATCTTGAAAAAGTTGACCTGTTTGTGAGGTCACGGCGATCCTGCATCGTGCCAGAACACTACTCCTGAGACCTCAACACAGCAACTCACCGTAACTGTTGCGACCTGGCAGTCATGACTCGGTCCAGCATGCCGTCTCTGGTACGCAGGCAGTGAGAGTTCCTTCAGCTGCTGCGAACTTTTAGGTGACGACTATACGCGGCGCTGACAGCGAGAGCCACATTTCGAGGACGAAGCGCCCTCAATCCGTGAAGTTCCTGCACGCTGGGACGTGAGCCGCCCTTGCCACCAGGAGGAGGAGGAGGAGGACGGAGGAGGACGGAGGACGACGGAGGAGGAGGAGGAGGAGGAGGAGGAGGAGGAGGAGGAGGAGGAGGACGGAGGACGGAGGAGGACGGAGGGGACGGAGGCGGACGGAGGAGGAGGACGGAGGAGGAGGAGGAGGAGGAGGAGGAGGAGGAGGAGGAGGAGGAGGAGGAGGAGGACGGAGGAGGGGGACTACGGCCGAAGCACGGCCGCGAGAGCGCGGGCCGAGAACGCCGGGGCCCCCCCCTCCGCCGAGGGCCGGAGGCCCCACGGGGAGGCACCCCGGGCGGAGAGCGGCGGGGGTTCCCAGGAGGCGCGGGCGCCCCGACGGCGGGCGCGCGCGGCGCCGCGGAGGCCTTGGCGCCCGCCGGGTGCGCCCGGAGCCCCTTGGGTCCGAGGCCCGACTCGCGGGCGCAGATTCTCCCCGGGATGCCGCGGGAGTCTCCAGCAGTCTCCAGGAGGCCCCAAGAGGCCACACGAGGTCCCAGGAGGCAGCAGGAGGCCATCGGGAGACTCATGAGGCCACGGGATGTCCCATGAATTTCCAGCAGGCCCCAGGAAGCTCCAGGAGGCCTCAGGAAGCCACATGTAGGTCCAGGAGGCCACAAAAAGCGCCAGGATCCTGCTGCAACAGGCGGTGCTGAGGCAAGGCAGCCGCCCAGCAAAGTCGGGCAACGTACATCGGGCGTGCGTCGGGGGGAAATGCTTACACTGGTGGGCTGTTCCCTGTATCTTGCTCCTCTTCTTCTTTCCTCGGGGGCGGCAAAGAGGGGGGTGATGACTATTAGGGGGGGTGGATATCATGGCGGGGGCCATGATATTTCCCCAGATTTCATGG